TCCCAATGCCTATCCTCATGAATTTGTGGCTTGGTTTAATAGCGCTGATGCCTGGTGCGTGGATCCAACTTCAAAATGCACCCGGCGAAAAGATTCGCGAGTCAAAACTCAGAGGTTTTAGTTCAGTTGTGTAGAATTTGCGCCAAGCCCCAGGATCAGCGCTTCAGCACCTTGGCAACACGGTTGAGTTCAGCGCCGACCCTGGAGTCCCCACAGGAGTTCGTCGACTTCATCAAGTCCAACATGCCTCATGCTGGGGGGCGAGATGTGTATTCAGAGCTTCTGGACGGCACCTGGAACTTCAAGGACTTCCTGGCCCCTTTGGATATTCAGATTACAGGTGTTGCGAGCACGTCTAAGGAGGATGCTGCACATGTGTGGAGACTTGTGGACAGAACGCTTCTCACCCAGGCTGGCTTCCAGGAGAGCGCAATTGAGGTGCAGCACCCAGACTGGCAGAACCTCCCCCCTGAGAGCTCCGACGTTATCTTGCTGACCAAGACTTACATGCACAGCCCGAATTACAGTCAGAACCCAGTCCTCATGCTCCCAGCGACCCAGATTCTCAAGCTCTCGAAGGATTGGGGGGGGTGCTTTCAAGCTTGCGCCCAGTCAGGGTGCCCTAGACGAAATTTGCATCCACTTTGAGTTTTGTCAGTCCAGTCCTGGGGCTTTGGAAAAATCCTGCGCCGCTGGGCTTTATTTCAAAGCTGCCCTGCGCTTTCGCGTCATAGCTCTGGGCTCAAGCCCAGGTCTCGATTCCTTCATTCGATTTGGTCTCGAGGCGATGTTTACACAGGTGGCTCTTCTGTGAGGAAGGGGGCTGTCGCCCCCTCTCGCCCCCAACCCCCCTGGCCCCCTCGACCCTTATGCTCTCCACCATTGCGTTTCCACCTCTTACGCCTTTTCCATTGCAGGGCGATCTGAAGCCGTGCAAGCTGAACCCATTGGGAGAGACAGTCATCAAAGAATACCGCAAGACTGCTTCACTGGTGCAGAAGGACCCTTGGAACCTCCTGGTGGCAACGTCCTACCTGACCAAATTGTGTGATGACAGTGAGGCATGCCGGCTTCCAGAGCCACCTGAACTCTCTTTCATTTTCGACTATGTGATGCCCTCTTCAGGCGCTGCTGACCAATTAGTCTCGAACCTGATCCTGGATGGGTCCGCTGGTGTGGTCGTGCGCGAGATTACAGTGGGCGCGAAGGCATCGCCTGCTGCTGCAGCACCAATGAAGCGCCCAGCAGGCGCAGTGCTTCGCAGGCCAGCCAAGAGGCCCAATGTGGATGCTCCTGCGGATGGTGTTGTGGCCCCAGAGGCTGCTGCCCCTGGCCCTGCTGTGGCCCCAGAGGCTGCTGCCCCTGGCCCTGCGCCTGCCCCAGAGGGTCCTGAGGCTCCTGGGTTACCTGATGGAGTGCCCAATCCCTTTCCCTTGGAGCTCCCGGCAGGCTTCCGTTATGGCTGCAGTAAGTGCCGCTACGAGCTCCCTCGCGGCTGCAAGCAGTGCCGCGATTGGGCAGCAACGGGCCATCGCAACTTCTTTAAGACTCATGACATGCGCATTGTGCAGAAGCTTTGATGCCAACTCATTGTTCTGTTGCGTGATGTGGCCAGTTTTGTAAGTTTCCGGGGCCCATTGGGGCCCAGCAGCCTGCACCAGCAGCCTCAGTCTTGCAAATCTTCAGGTTCAGGTTCAAACGAAATGGCCAGACATGAAATCATAGAACTCTCTCTTGGCAAGAATGGAGTGCTTGGTGCATGGGGGCGAAGCTCACAGCTACTCTATGGAGTTGGCGCCAGCAGCGCTGGCGCCCATTCAAGCGTAGGATTCTTCAAGAGATAGTGTTCCTAGGGCGTGTGAAAAAAAAGCGTGGATGCGAAGTCCATCGCGCCTTCTGCCCATGTTGAATGGCCAAGCTCAGCCACTGGAAGAAGAAAAGGGCCACTTGGTGATAGCATATTGTTCGGAACTGTCTTGCTCGCCGATTGGGGAGGGCCACCTCTTGGAGCAGCTTTGGACATCAATGATAGTACTATTGCGCCCCAACCTGAGGCCACCTGAGAAATTTATTTTGGCAGGGTTGCTAGCTGTGCTGGATTTTCAGCTTTCTCAGACCACCACACCGAAAATTAATTCGGTAGGGTTGCTAGCTGTGCTGGATTTTCATCACCATGCAAAAATTTATTAGGTAGGGTTGCTACACTGTGCTGGTTTCCTGTGAAACCGGCACAGACAGCGACTTGCCTAGCAACCCTTCCAAATTAAATGTATGATGCTACCTCTTTTGGGCCACCTTTCCCCTCAAACGTTGCACCACTCCAACACATAAGTCGGCAAGATTGCTAGCTGTGCTGGTTTCCTGGGAAACCGGCACATCTCCGCCCATCCAAGCAACCTGGGCAAATTATTTGCTCGATCCCCAAATCAGGCCTCGCGGCAGATCTCAGATCTTGTTTTCCTCATGCCAAGATGCGCGGGCTTCCTGGGAATCCCGCGGATCTCTACAGTAGGGCGCCACCCTCGGCGGAAGTCCACCCCCCCTCCCCAGACCATTGACTTGTGCTGGATCCTTGGATCATACAGGACTTGCGCGGGATTCCTGGGAAACCGGCGGATGTCGGCTATGATTTTCAGGACATCGACTTGTGCTGGATCCCATGCAAGCCCCACGCGTTTGAACTTTGTGTTTCTGTGTCGCCACTCTGGCTCAAAGTCTTGTGTCCCTGACAAGATGTCATAATGTGGTCCTCTGACACCGCATGGTGGCGGTCTGGATATGCAGACAATTGGTTTGGCTGGGATAGCAGCTGGCAGTGGTCAGGTTCAGAATCATGTTGGGGAGCAAACATGGTTGACTATGGCAATGGAAAGATGGCTGCTTCTTCGAGTGGCCTGGGTGCTGCCTGGTCTGTTTCCAAGAACACTGCAGAGATCAACGGCGAGTGGCATGCTTATGGTCAGACTGGTGCAGATGCCCAGGGCGATCAGTCCAAGGCTGGCTGCAAGGCTGATCCCGAAGTTACCGAGGCAGAGACTGTCCTCATCCCGCTCGCCAAAGCCAGGCCCATGAAGATCTACTTGACAAGGGAGTTCGAGACACTGGAGTCGCAGCCTGCTGTGAAGTCCAGGGATCCCCGTTTGTGGAATCACTTCGAGGAGACGAGGATAATAGCTGAAATTGCAGCCATGGAGGTCGAGGACACACTTGCATCTGCGATGCGGCTGAATGCTATCATGGAGAAAAATGCGAAGAGTCAGAAATATGCAGCGCTGAAGGTACCTAGGCCCCCGCCTTTCCCTCCACCAGGATTTGTAGGTCCTGGGCCTGGGGCGCCTCCAAAGAAGAGCTGCGGCCCACCGCCTTCGAATGTTCCTCCAACTGCAAGCGTTGGCCCACAGCCTCCGGGTTTTCCTCCACCCCCCAGCGTCAATACAGCATCGAAGCCTTGCAAATTCATCCCGACCCCTGGAGATGATGCAGGCATGCAGCTGCGTAAACTGAAGGACAGGCATAATGAGCGCGAGTCCAGACGTAGGGCTAGGAGGGCCAGGGAGGCAGAGGAGTGGCTGAACCGTTCACAAAGTTCGGGGTCACAGAATCAGCCTTCTGTCAGCTCTGCTCATTATCAGTAGACATGCGGTGCCAAACTTAGCTGCGTGTCCTGAGATGTGCTTCTCTTGGTGTCAGCCAGAAGTAACTTGCAGTTTGCCCCTCCCCTTTACTTCCTACACCAATTTCGAAGATCTGGTGGTCACAGAAAATCTGGACATCTAGACCCCCAGAACGTTGTAGATAGCAATGCCCTCTTGGGTTAACTAGTTGGGGTGACTTAGGGTCTGTCGCTGATTCCTTCAAACAGTGCTTGCTCTTTCTGTCGTTGAGCCTGTGCATTGCTGCCAGCTGTGCTGGCAAAGATCCTAAGATTGGACTTCATGTCACTTGTTGGGTCCTTTGGAAATCCCGGGTCCCCCAGTTGAGCTGTTGAGCGCAATCCGTAGAGCCCCAGTTACATGAGTTCATGTGATAAGTGCTTGCGCAATTCATGGCATGCTCGTGGTGTAAGCCATCCATTTCCAGTGCATGTATCCATTGTCCTTGGGATTCCGGTGAGCCATTATTGAGGTATCGAGTCCGTGTGATTTGTCCAAGGTTTGCAAGAGTGCGAGCCATGTCCCTTCAACTACCAGATGGTATGCCAGATCAAGCAGATCAAGATCTGGATGACCACGCCTCCACAGTCGCAGGATGGGCAGAACCAATGGTCCCACAGGGCCTGGAGGTGCTGTGCAATTTCATTGACAAGACGTCGGCAGACCTCCAAGACATCTTCAAGCAGTATGGCAACCCGCAGGCCTACCTGATGAAGTCCATGCCTGCGAAGGAAGACCAGGCGGCATTCACCCATTGGCTTCGCGACATGTTCCCGGAGTCCGATGACACCTTGTACAACCATGATGTGACCTTGCCTGGTGTGTCTGAGTCTGACTTGGGCGGGGAGGTGGCCTTCTGCATCCACGTGTCCTCGCTCGGCTTCCACCAGGCACTTTGTGTTTTCAAAAACACGTTTTGCGAGGTAAGTAACCCCCCATCTGGAGGGGACGCCTTGGGGCCTTTTTGGGACTCGATTTGGCCATCTCTGGCGCTCCAGGACCGCCAAATCTGTGCACCCACAGGGGGACCTCTGCGGGTCTGTGTTTTCGGCGACCGTTTGGCCACACATGTGGCCGTTCTGAGGGCCTAAGTTTGGCTATGTCGGAGCTTGGAAGGGCTGTTGGGTGGCTCTATGGGGGTTGTGCCCTCCTAGGAACTAGGGAAATCGGCCGTGGGGCAAAAAAATGAAGCGTCCTGATGTGTCTCAAGGGTTTTGAACGACAGAGATGTGAGTCTTAGGTGCTGTTTTTGGCCATGATCATGGGCCCTACGCTGTTGGCCAAACCTACTACCCCCCTTTGAGAGTTAACGCGCAAATCCATTTGCCCCCAATCCAGGCTTGCAGCATGAAGCCTGCGCCGGGCAAGGATGTCACCCGGCAGCTGTGGGAGAACTACCTGAAAGATGGCTTCGTGACTTCTGGAGAACCCCTCCTGGCTTCACAGCCTGAAGAGCTCCAAGTTCGCCCTGAGCCTCCACTGCCGGCCCCGACTGCCCATGCTCCGCATTCTCTGGGGTACATCAAGGGGCAGGCTCGCAGCCTCACGCTCTTGGCCCTCCTGCACTACTGCTACTCCAAGAATATTGACTTGAAGGAGGTGCACCCGCTCCTCTGGCAGTCCGTGTGCAGGATTTACGTCCTGAAGGTCACCTACAGTACGAAGGCAGACGAGGCGTTGGCCAATATGAAACTCAGTGCGAGGGGGAGCATTCGCCGAGCTAACAACCTAGTGGTGACTGTGGTGATGCTTCACAACCTCTCCAAGCAGGGCTTCGGGGACCTGCAGTCCTTTGCGCGCAGGTGCCATAGGGGTGCCAAGACGTAGGAGCTTTGAAATCGTGTTAATGGGGCATTTATTTTGGTGACATGCGAAGCCCAGGGGTCACTGAAATTCAGAGGGCGAGGTTCAGAGGGCGCCCCCTGGGACAATTCGACATGTCCAGACCCAGCGTTGCTATCTTGACGAGAAGCTGTGGAAGGTGTTTTGAATTTGTACGGTCGCCCTGAGACTGGACCCAGGGCCCCAGCATGCCTCACTGAAATCTTCGGATTGCTTCAGAATGTAGAATGACATCTAATTTGTATTTACCTATTTCTTGTCCTGCCGAGAATTCTAGCAGGCTGGAGGGGCTGGGGTCTACGAAAACGCCACCCCCCACAGCATGGATGGGGGGATACGCACTGTGTATAGTTATCCAAAAGTTCAGGCTTTGATGATACTTAAATGAAAGAGAATGAACATGCAAGTCAAGTGGCTCAGCGTGAAGTCTAAACTTGTGGCGCAATATGTAGGATGCATGCCACATGATACAATGTATGTGGTCCAACGTATCCGGTGTGCGCAACGTGGTGTAAGCTACGCGCTGCACTCATGAGGTACCAGCTCACATCACCTCTGTATGACATGCAATGCTATGTTGTATAAGCTATGTGACCCAACACATAACAAATCGTTTGCATGTTGTGCCTTGTGTATGTTGACCTACTACCTACACCTATCTAAATTATACATGAGTTATGTGTGAACCATGTCTTAAGTATGTCTTAGGTGTGTCTGGAGTATGTCTTGATTGTGTCTGAAGTATGTATGCATCATGTCTTACGTGCGTATTAACTATGTATTCGGTATGCCCGAAGTGTGTAGGAGTTATGTAGTATCTGTGTCCTAGGGATGTCTTCATTATGGATTGAGAATGCCTGGAGTGTGTATTGATTATGTACTAAATATATCGTATATATTTGATGTGTATGTATTACGTGTGTTTTAATTATGTGTGAAGTATGTCTTACTTACGTCTGACATATGTACAACTTATTCCCTCACGATGGATCAACCATGTGTTGCTTATGGTTTGAGTATGCTTTAATCATGTATGAATTCTAGACGCTTCGCGTATCCCCACCAGCCCGTCCAGAAATGAGTCCCAGGGGAGTGGAGGTTATCAGGGAAGCGGGAGAGCATGCAGAAGAACAACAGGCGGGGTGAGCCGCCATATGCCCCAAGAGGGGAAGGATGTAGGAGGAGCCGTCGTCGTTGGAGTAGGAGGAAGAGGAGGAGCAGGACGAGGAGCAGGAGCAGGAGGAGGAGAAGGAGGAAGATGAGGAGGAGATGGAGGACTGCGAGGACGAGGAGGACGAGAAGAAGGAAAAGGACAAGGAGGAGGATGAGGATGAGGAGGAGGAGGGGGAGGGGGAGGGGGAGGAGGGAGGAAGATAAAGAGGAGGAGGAGGAGGTCAATGGCGAGCTTGGGGGCCCCTTGGGCCGTCTTTGGGGCCTCTTGGCCGTCCTGGGGGCCTCTTGCGTATATCGGGTAGCCTCTTGTGGCCTCTTGGGGGTCTCTTGGGGCATCTTGGAGGCCTCTTGGGGGCCTCGTGGGGCTTGGGGCCCTCTTGGGGCGCTCTTGGGGCGCTCTTGGGAGCCTTCGGGGCGCTCTTGGGGCCATGTTGGAGGAGATCTATCAAAGAAGGGGGGGTCGTATATTAGCGCTGCCCCTCTAGAGTGCCTCGAATCGCCTCTGAGGCCCTTCTTGAGGCCAAAATCCTTCCAAAACCTAAGGAAAATCAATGTTTTGTGCTTTTTCGCTTTTTCGCCCCTGGAGCCGTCTTGGGCCATCTTGGGAGCCTCTTAGGGCCTCTTGGGGGCCTCTTGGGAGCCTCTTGGAGGCCTCTTGGCGGTCTCTTGGGGCCTCTTGGGGTCCTCTTGGGGCGCTCTTGGGGCGCTCTGGGGAGCCTTCGGGGCGCTCTTGGGGCCATGTTGGAGGAGATCTATCAAAGAAGGGGGGGTCGTATATTAACGCTGCCCCTCTAGGGTGCCTCGAATCGCCTCTTGGGAATTTATTGGGGCCAAAATCCTTCCAAAACCTAAGGAAAATCAATGTTTTGTGCTTTTTCGCTTTTTCGCTCTTAGAGCCGGCTTGGGCCATCTTGGGAGCCTCTTGGGGCCTCTTGGGGGTCTCTTGGGAGCTTCTTGAAGGCATCTTGGGGGCCTCTTGGGGCCTCTTGGGGCCCTCTTGGGGCGCTTTTGGGAGCCTTCGGGACGCTCTTGGGGCCACCTTGGAGGAGATCTATCAAAGAAGGGGGGGTCGTATATTAGCCCTGCCCCTCTAGAGTGCCTCGAATCGCATCTTGGGCCTCCCCAAGGGGCCAAAATCCTTCCAAAACCTATGGAAAATCAATGTTTTGTGCTTTTTCGTTTTTACGCTCTTGGAGCCGTCTTGGGCCATCTTGGATGTACAATGACCTGCGGAACCCCTCGTCCAGGTCGGTGGGGAGGGGTGGGGAAAGAAGGGGGGTGACAGAGGAAACGCTCTAGACCACCTACGCCCTAAAGGGCTGGTGTGATTATGTGCGTGTGTGGGTGGGGAGGCACATGCGAACTGCGCTCCCTTCTGGGGCCACGAAGCGCTGTACCAGGTACGGGAGACGCATGCGAACTGCGCCACTGGGGCCTTCAGTGGAACTCCCGATGGGGCCACGAGGCGCTGTACTGGGTTGGGGGCGACGCATGCGAATTGCCCCACTGGGACCTTCGGTGGAGCTCCCTACGGGGCAACGAAACGCTGTGCTGGATAGGGGGAGACACATGCGAACTGCGCCTGGGGTTCGAATGCGTCTCCCCCTTCCAGTGCAAGACTTCCTGGCCCAAAGGGAGCTCCACCGAAGGCCCCGGTGGCGCAGTTTGCATGCGTCTCCCCCAACCCAGCACAGCGTTTCGTGGCCCCACAGGGAGCTTCACCGAAGGCCCCAGTGGCGCAGTTCGCATGTGTCCCCATAGGGAGCTTCATCTAGGCCGCCCATGGTGCAGTCCGCATGCGTCTCCCCCACACAATTCAACGTTTCGTGGCCCCGTAGGGAGCTCCACCAAAGATTCCAGCGGCGCAGTTCGCATGCGTCCCCCCAACCCCCCACCCCACCCCTCCCTCCACACCACCACCGAAACCACCACCACCACCATCACCACCACCAACCACCACCACCACCACCACCACCACCACCACCACCACCTCCACCACCACCACCACCACCACCACCACCACACACACACACACACACCCACACCCACACACCCACACACACAGTACAGCGCTTCGTGGCCCCATAGGGAGCTCCACCGAAGGCCCCAGTGGTGCAGTTCACATGCGTCTGCGCCACACATTTCAGCGCACCCCTCACGCTTCGTGGCCCCATAGGGAGTCCCCACCTCCGTCGTCCCACCCACTTGCCTGCGGTACTCACACTTGCAGATGACTGGGTCCTTTGCCAGGCTAAGTGTTTTGTGCTTTGTGTGTGCCATGCGGGTGTGTCATGTGTGAGACATGTGCGTGCGTGTGTGATTCCTTAATCAAAGTAGAGTCCCATATGGCCTTTTGGGTAGCGAGAGGGAACCCGAAGGGCCACCAACCCCGTACTTGTATAATTGTGTATGTCAATTTGGGATGGGCTAGTGTTTGTGTCGAAGACGGTTGCCGGCCCAATTTGGGGCCACCGTAGTGGCGTCCAAGTGGCCCTTCAGAGCATTGGATCTCTTGGTCTGTGTTTATTTGGACGTTGTTAGCTGAACTTGTCAATTGTTTTTTTTGACCCTGGCAGGTGGAATGCCATGACCACCAAGCAGCACCAGCTGGTGGGCAAGCGTGCTGTCGCCCTCAAGCTTCTGTTTGAAGTGGCGCCCCGTGCTGGCCTCGAGAGCATCCTCGAACATGTGGGATCGATGGGCTGGGGCTCCTGTGTGTGGACTGAAGACGTCCTCGCTTCAAAAAAAATCTACCCGAACCACCAGTTTGCAAGCAAGTCAAAAAAGTGGACTGCCCGTGTCAAGACAAGCGAAGAATCCTTCTTGCTCATGGTGGAGCGTGCGCAGAATTCGTATGAGATGAGCAACCCCAACCTCAGGTGGAAGTTGACCCCTGCGAACGCAGAAGCCTTGGCAGAACGCGCGTCTGCGTGTCTTGCCATGGCAGCCGAGCTACAGCTCCAAGTGCCAATCCCGGAGCAGAAGATCAAGGACGCCTTCATCGAGCAGTGGCGCATGGGCTCGGAGCACGTGGACTTCGAGCTCCAGGCGGCCCTCATGGACAAGAGCGATACTTTCGACGTTGCCATGCACATGCCGACGCTCAAGAAGTTGGTTGATGAACATGTCTTCTCCACCCCAGTCAGCCTGGCCACAGACGCCCAGCAGGCACTGGACTCCGATCAATTCCACCTCTTGATCAAGCAGTTGGAGTATGACACGACTTGCTACGAGAATTGGATGAAAAAATGTTCTGGTGTAGTGTGCGCCCGGTACCATCGGGAGCAGGAGACTGGGTTGTTTTGGCCTACTTGTCTTCACGATTGCTGGTTTGTAAAGCACCCTGGATTGTGTTGGTGCCACAAAATGTACGGACCCCTCGCCTCCGTGAAACCCCTGCCCTGTAACATGCTAATAGGACTCTACAAGAAAGAATGAAGAAGGAATAATAGGAAGGAGTACACATATACACACGCACCCACTGTGAGAAGCTTCGTTACAAAACAGCGTTTCCATTCTGCACACATGAAGGAGACAATACCTAGATACAGTATAACCCCACTAACATCAAGCCAAAGGATGCCACCAAGAAGATCAGGATTGACGTTTTCAACTCATTCCAATGACTTCAGAACCCACCCATCCACTCCCGCAGCCACCCACGCCAAGAATCAGGAGAGAAGGGAGGAGGAAATCTTTCATTTATCAGATCAAATTGACATGTAACTCTAACACACAACCTCGTGAAACACCAGAAATCAAGACTACCCCCCCCACCCCACCCCTGCCCCCTCGCACCCAGGATTGTTCATGCCAAGCTTGAGGGTTTCAAGTTTGAGGTGGCGAAAACGTGTGCGCAAGCTGCACAGACTTCCCTGGACTAGTTTGTTCCTTTGGACCTCCTCTCTTCTTTCATTTTGCTGGGGCAGTCCCATTCGCATGTTACGGGCCGCTACTCTCCCTGTAGCTCGCTTTTCACAGGAGTTCAGGCTGGAGGTGAAGAACAAGTGCGCACAGGCTGCGCAGACCTTCTTGGGCTCGTGTGTGAAGCTGGTTGTGTGGTCAAAAAAGGTGGAGGATGTGGTGGCAGACGTGATCGCCTTCAAGCGGGAGGTGATTATGAAGAAGGTGGGCGTGAACCCAGGTGATGTGCCAGTGATGTCGTTGCTCAACTGGGCTGCCCCGTGTGCCCTGAGCCAGGACATCCAGGATAAGCAGGCTACTGTTGTGAACTGGAGCCTCCATGAGAATGCGTCCAACTGCACAGCAGTAATCCTGCCCGTCTTCACCTATGCGCGAGGCAAGCTCTACTTAGAAGAAATCAAGGCGCTGCAGTCTCTCGCGTCTGGGGGGCACAACGTGGACTTTCCGTTCTCGATGGTGTTCAGCAGCCAGTGCGACCCACGCGACTTGCGCCCAATGGTGTATGGAGGTCGCTTGGCTTTCCCAGCAGCAGCGACGGACCTTCAGAAGAATCCATTCTTCAGCAGCTCTCTCAGGGTGGATCGTCGGACCAAGGAGGTGCAACAGCTCCCGGGGAAGAAGATGAAGGTGGTGGAGGATGGTTTGGGCCTTCCTAAATAATATTGCTCGTTGCAGACTCAGTTCTAAGGACGATGCTAACACAGATCAGGATTTGGTTAACTGCATTTCGAATGTTTAACTTTGTGGGCCCTTCAGCCCTTCAGGCCAAGTCCAATTGCAGTAAGGTCTCCAGGATTCATCTTGTGGCTTGTGATTTCATGGAGTCTGCTACGCTGATGAGCAGATGCATGATCAACACACTTCGTACAGACTCATTCCGATGACTCCTTGTGCCCCCACGAATCACATCTGGCTGAATATGCCTGGCTTCGATTTTCTTTTGAAGGTTTCAGGGTGCCTTGGAATTGTCCCCAGGATCTGAAATCCCGCCAGCCCTCTGGGCGTAGGTGGTTTAGAGACTTCCACCCCTCCTTCTTCCCCTTCGGGGAGGGGTTTACCCCTCCCCCTACCCCCTCCTCATGGACCTGGAGGGGGGGGGGTCGCGAGTTGCCAGGGCGTCCAAAACGGCCTCGGCGAGGAAGCCAAAGTCATTGACGTTTTTAGGGTTGTGGCCCCATTTTGGACTCCTGGGGGGGGGGCTAATTGACGCTCCCCTCTTGTTTGATCGATCTCCTCCAATATTGTCCCAAGAAGCGCCCGGGAGGCCCCGAGAGGTCCCAAGATAGCCCCAAGATGGCCCCAAGAGGCCCCCAGGCCCCCAAGAGACCCCCAAGAGGCCCCAAGAGACCCCCCAGAGGCACCCAAGATGCTCCAAGAGACCTCGGCGAGAATGCCAAAACGGCCTCGGCGAGGAAGCCAAATTCATTGGTTTTACCAGGGTGGTGGCCCCATTTTGGCCTTCTGGGGGGGCGCTAAGTATAATTACTGCTCCCCTCTTGTTTGATCGATCTTCTCCAAGCTGGCCCCAAGAAGCGCCACGGAGGTCCCAAGATGGAGGTCCCAGGATGGCCCCAAGATGGCCCCAAGAGGCCCCCAAGAGGCCCCCAGGAGGCCCCCCAGAGACCCCCAAGAGGCCCCAAGAGACCCCCCAGAGGCACCCAAGATGCTCCAAGAGGCCTGGGCGAGAATGCCAAAACGGCCTCGGCGAGGAAGCCAACATCATTGGTGTTACTAGGGTGTTGGCCCCATGTTGACCTCCTGGGGGGGGACACCGATTATTGCTCCCCTCTTGTTTGATCGATCTCCTCCAAGATGGCCCCAAGAAGCGCCCAGGAGGCCCCAAGAGGTCCCAAGATAGCCCCAAGTTGGCCCCAAGAGGCCCCCAAGAGGCCCCCAGGAGACCCCCAAGAGACCCCCAAGAGGCCCCAAGAGACCCCCCAAAGATGCTCCAAGAGGCCTCGGCGAGAATGCCAAATCGTTGATTGCACTTAGGTTTTAGCCACATGTTGGCCTCTTGGGGGGGAGCACTGATTAAGATGACTCCAAGAGCGCGTGAGAGAGCCCAAGATGACCTCCAAGATGGCTCAAGAGATCCCAAGATGTCTCAGAATGGCTTCCTCTGTGTGCTGCCCACTTCCCTGATCCAGACAACTCCTCTGGGCATCGTTTCTGGATGAGCTGGTGGGGATTCGCGAAGCGTCCGCAATTTTTTGCTCCAATGCATCCAACAGGACTTGTCTGCAGACTCGTTGCCACCATCCACAGATGGTCGGGACTCCTATGTCCACGGAGCGTCCAAGTTTCAGCAGGTGGGTGTGGAGGCCAGCGTTGCCCTCCTGCAGAGTTTGACAGACGGCGCCAACCTGGAGGGCATCAAGGCAGTCTTGATCCTGGACTTGAATGTTCGTACCGGGGACTTCCTCGAAGCGTTTGTCTCGCACAGGAAGCAATTCAATGCTCCCTTCTTCTTCTTTGGATGTTGCGCCAACCAGGTGGAGATGGATTGGGTGCTCCACACGGTGCAGGAGTCCATTGAGACTGGATTGCTTGCAGGCAAGGTGGAGATCCCAGGCTTCACGCAGCCAAGCACCAAGGTCAGCGATGACTTGCTCGAGCCATTCCCCCAGCAGCCGCGCCTCAACAAGCTCATCATCGGGGGGGCGGACAAGGATCGCTTGCTCCTTCCAGCGAGCATCGTGAAGCAGTGGCAATTCGACCCCACTTTCGGTCCAGAGTTCGTGGATTGGCTCAACAAATGGACTCTGAAATATGCAGTTGTTGATGAGGTGCAGGAGAAGGATCTGAAGTCCGGCAAGCGGCCTGGTGGTGAGGAAGAGGAGCCAAGTCCCAAGAAGCCCCGTACCAGCGATAAGTACATTGTCGACGCGAGCACAATCACGCAGGCCCTGTTGCTGGAGGCGAAGCTCCCAGGCAAGGACACAGCTACGCTGCAGATTCGCGCAGGTCACACCATCACCCTCCAGAACAAGACCACTGCCAAGGTGGTGCTCCAGGCCAACACCCTGATGTGCCAATTCGGGAAGGGCGGCTTCAAGCTGATCAAGGGCGAGGACAATCCTACTGATAAGCAATACCCATTCATCCTTCGTGACGACAAGACGCTGGTGGTCTTGGGCCAGACAGCGCAGACCCTTGGCAAGGTCATCGAAGAGCAGCGCCAGACCAAACCAGACTGCCAGATCTGCTACCACAAGATTGTGCGCAACGAGGACAACCCGAAGCTCTTCTCCCTGGACCTCTCCCACAAAGTCGCCTTCGAGCCTTCTGTGACGAACCCAGAGGTGTCTGTGAGCAACATGGGCTGCAAGGAGCCTGCCACGACGTGGTCGAGTGAGAACTTGGGCATTCTGTGGGTTGTCAGGTGGGGTCAGAAGGGCCTGATGCCTGTCAAGCCAGCTGTGTACCTCAAGGCAGGTGTGAGTTTGGAGCCCGGCCAGGCTCTACTGTGCACCTCTACTACGGAGCCTCAGTGATGATATCACGACCCGTGGATGCCAGAACACTTGCATCCATACAATTTTTGCTGGCTGCCTGTCGTGAAGTTTTGGCTTTCTCAGCTTTCCCTCCTCAGAGTCCCAAGTGGTTGATATCAAATTGATCCCTCCTGTGTCTCTTTCTTTCTCTCCCTCTCTCTCGTTTTGGACGGCAGATTTTCAGACTACTCCACTCGCCGATGGTTAGCCATCTAGTTTCAGGGCGTGCGCCATGGCGCGCCTGCAACGCTTGATTATGCGATCGCGATGCTCCAGCGCGTGAAACATAACGAGATCAAGCAAGTGTGATAGCCATATGTGTATACGTAAATGTATATACATAGGTATGTATATGTGTATATATGTGTACATCCGGCATGCACATGGACGTTATCTGTACATGTTGATATATATATATATATATGTATAAGCATGGAGTAAATTTACTTACATGTATAACACAATACATCGGAGGTGGGGGGGGTGAGATCGAAGTGGAACGAAGAGACCCTAACCAACAGATCGGGTTCGGTTTCAATTGGTGTCACGCGTGTGGGCGAGGCGAAGCTGCGCGAGTTCCGTCACCAGTAAGGGTCATCTACGGCCATTTGGGCTCCCCTCCCCCTCTCCAGGGCGCGGCTCCTGGTTGTCCCGCGGTTGTCCCGATGGCTGTCCCGATGGTAGTCCCGATGGTAGTCCCGATGGTTGTCCCGATTGTAGTCCCGATGGTTGTCCCGATGGTTGTCCCGATGGTTGTCCCGATGTTTGCCCCGATTGTTGTCCCGATGGAGGTCCCGATGGCTGTCCCGATGGTTGTCCATAAGGTTGTCCATACAGTTGTTCAGACGGTTATCCTGATGGTTGTCCCGATGGCTGCCCCGATGGTGGTCCACACGGTTGTCCTGATGGTTGTCCTGATGGTTGTCCCGATGGTTGTCCCGATGGTTGTCCCGATGGCTGTCCCGATGGTTGTCCCGATGGTTGTCCCGACGGTTGTCCCGATGGTTGCCCCGATGGTTGCCCCAACGGTTGCCCCAACGGTTGTCCCGATGGTTCCCCCGATGGTTGCCCCGATTGTTGTCCCCATGGTGGTCCCGATGGTTGCCCCGATGGTTGCCTCGATGGTTGTCCCGATGGATAGATCGATGGATGGACAGACGGATGGATACGTATAGATAGATCAATATTCAATTATACAGGTAGTTATATACTGAGACATATATATATATAATGATAAAAATAATTCGGCCGATCGGTGGATAAATAAAGTGATAATGCGATATACAGATTCAGATATGTCATTTGTTGTGTATATATGATATGAAGATTCGGGCCTCGATTTACAATTTGACAGTTTGGTAATTTGGTACACAAATAGCCATATACATATAGTGGTATACATCGACATGACGTTCAGCAAATAAACTCGATACTATACTTCTATATATTCACATGCACGTATACATTATGTACCGGTATCTGTATATATATACGTGGGTATCGGTGGGTCAGTCACCTGTACATATATATATATATGTCGAACGTTGAATGTGAATTCATCGACAGGGTTTGCATACATACACTTGGGTGGAACTTGGGTGGAACAGTTTTATCTATATAAATGTAGTTAACTAAATGAGAACATAGATGAAATAGATCGCCAATTCGATAGTTGTATATATATATATATGCGTAGAGAGATAGCCAAATAAAGTAGGTTTTCATATATATATATATAACTATATATATGCGTATACATCGAAAGACGCATGGACACATGTGCGCGACACTAAGGAAGGTGAAGAAACCAAGAGAAACCCAGAGCCATCGCAGATCTACCGTCTCCCCTTTTCCCCCCCAATCTCCTTGTCACCCGAAGGGTGGTCTTATCGGTGTATACTTATATTAATGTATATATATATATATATCGGTATTGATATTTATAGTGGGGCTCACACTTGCACTAAGAACTCCCTTTGATGGCTTGGCACACACACACACATCGCGCGCACGCAAGGGCATGCAAAAACATGCGAGCATCCATGAAGTGGCACATAGAGACTCAAAGCACAAAAACCACATCCAGCCTCCACAATTATCACACGCACTACGACCACCACGCCTCAACTACCCTTTGGACCACCACCACCACCACAACCGCATTTTGCGCCACCACTACGACACCACCACCACCACCACCAATCACCGCCACCAGCCCAACTCCACCACCATATGTGTATCCTGGCATAAGCCAGCAGCGCTGGCTGGCTAGGGTGCTGGCCATTTGATGTTTTGTGTGGTTGCATATGCGGCCCCCCCCCCCACTTCCCCCTCGCCGCCGCCCCCCCCCCCTCCCTGTCACGCGCTCAGGTCGGCCGAAAACGAAGCAACCCTCATCAAATTATTTAACAACCCTCTGGCAAGAAATGCCCTTCTCAGGACCGTCTAACAACGACGCGGGACGAAAAACCGGTTCCGGGGAAAGGGTCGGGACTTCAAGGGACCCCGTATTGAAAAAATCAGGACGTCGCATGTCTGGGTTGCCTCCCGATCCCCGCTGGCGCGGCAGTGGCCCAACTGGCTGACTTGCACACCCAGGTGGGGATACATGCATGCCTGTTCCTTCGGGTTTCGCTGGGCCTACCCCCAGCAAGGAGGGTGGGCCGGTGGGGCTAGGATACCATGGCCAAAGGGGATGAGATAGGTTGAACGATACTGACCTTTTCCCCCTCTCCCGCCATCCCACCCTTCCTGCCTTGCTAATGGCATGGAAGAGCGGGTTTAAGTTTTCGCAGCTCTATCGCGCGTTATGGGGGGGGGCGGGGGGGGGGAAAACGTAACGCCCCCCCCCTGGCGTGTGGCTTCAGCGCCACAGCGCGTGCGCGCATTACAGCAAGCATCACGGTGCGCAGCACAGTTTGCACCGCAGCAGCCACGCGCACCACATCGCCTATGTACTGCGCAGCGCACACGTGCACCATCGTGCAGCACCACAGTGTTTGCATCCTCCACGCTGTCCTTCGAACATGATGTCGTGCTGGTGTTTGCTGCCTGCTGCCGCACGGTTGCATCTACGTTGCGCAAATACAGGTGCTACAGCACTCCGCTTCTACCGCCTCCAGAACCGAAGCATAGCACGAACATTGTCTTAATTCTGTACCGCACTGCCTGTTTCCGATGCGTGCTGTACGCGTGCACCACAATGCATGCGTGCACCACAGCGCCTGCGCGCACAACAGCAGCCGCGTTCACCACATCGCCTGCGCACGCCGCAACGCGCGGGTGCACCATAGCGCTTGCGGACACCACAACCCTTGCGCTGATTACACTTATGTTGTAGAAAGGGGTCATGCGCAGAGTCTGGGCGCCCATTAAGAGTTGGCGGGCAACAATGGTGCCTGGAAGCACGCACGACACGGGCGAAACAGCTGCGAGAACACGATTGCAGTTCTGTCAGCACCCCCGTAGTTTGCGAGCACCGCCGCGCGCTTGAAGATTTACTGGCTGCACTTGCGACAACCACACGGCGGAATGGCGCAAGCCTCTGGGAGAACGCCCTGTTAGCCACGCTGCGAACCTCGAGCCTGGAACCTCGATCCTCCGACGGGTATCCGATACAGAAATCTGCTTGACCCCAGCTCGGGGCCAACCGTAGACAGGTGTTCGCGCTGCGCGCGGCCGCGTCGACGAGGGTCTCCAGAACCGTCCCAAAACAACTGGAATACTAGGCCGATGTTGCATCACAGCAGCAATGCGGTCCCTGACTTTCGTCCTGGGTTCGGTTTAGTGAAGTGATGAATTTCGGGGTCCTTACATGGGACACAACATCACTTCACTAATCTGGGGCCCCTGGGGCCTCAGTGGGCCCTGGGGCCCAAAATTAGTGAAGTGATGGTTTTCGGGCCTCGGATGGAAGGACGACTACTACGACAGGAAGCCAACGCCCACCAGGACGACTACTACGATTCGGATCCTGACGACCACACGACGACGACCATAATGATGACCGTGACGACGATCACGACGACTATGACGACGATCGCGACGACTGAGAGTACTGCGACGACTGCGACTGTCAAGACGACGGTCACAACGACGACCACACGCCGACGACGACTATCGCTCCGACCAAAATGAACACGACGACCATGGTAATTTCGACGACGACAATTACGACGAGCACAACAACGATCACCACGACCACAAGACAACCACGACGACGATCGTCAAAAAGTAGTTCGTTGAAGGTGTTGCATCTTTCGTTGCACTTCCCAATCGGTGTGCTCAGGCCGCTTATGCCGGCACTCGACAACTATCTTACGCAATGCTCTTACACATAGTTTGACATGTTCGTGCGCACCCGGTACGGATGGCGATGGATAACGATGGTGTAGAGGGAGAGGTAACGAGGGGCGGAGGGAGGCGAGAGCTGGGAAAGGCAGCACGACAGAGGCGAGAGGAGGAAGCCGGGACGAGGAAGCAGGGGAAGAGGTAAGAGGGGCGGAGGGAGGCGAGAGCTGGGAAAGGCAGCGCGATGGAAGTGAGAGGAGGACGCAGGGACGAGGAAGCCGGGAAAGAGAGCAGCCGCAGCAGCAGGCGCAGTGCAGCAATGCAGGAGCGGAGCCGACCTCGGGGCCAAGAGTCGGCATCTGGGACAACAAAATACCCCCGGGGAGACTGTCGGGACCCCTGTGGCCGAGGAGTAGGTCGGGCCTGTCCTCCTACAGGCTGATGCTGGGCGAAACATGAAAAAACAGTCGAGCAAAAATGCCCCAAAACATTCAAACATACTCCAAAACATCGCCCCCACACTATAATTGGACTATTTTCGAATGTTCCCCCCGTAGAGGGACAGGCCCAAATGAAAACTACCCCCGCGAACAAACCTATCGGGACCTCTGGGGCCGCGGACTGCAGAACCGGATCGGAGGATGCCTTGGGGTGGGGGGGGAGGTCTGCCTCCGCGGGGCCCTCCCGGCGATGGCGCAGCTGCCCTCGGC